CTTTTACTGCGCATGCGTGTCACATCAGTGCTGTGGAGCGTTCACACAGGGGTCTGATGCAGGTCACATTTAAAATGTAATGTGAATGTTCACACAAAAAGATCAGATTTTTTTTTCAAAAATCGGAACTGAGCATTAAGACCTGCAGTGTGAACGTAGCCATAGTTGATGTGAATTTCCTACACTTTCTAAAAATGGTTAATTTTAGGTACTAGGGTCAGGGACAGGATGTCTAGAGTGAATAAAGGTAATTTTTGGCTTTAGGGTGTTAGTTTTTGTGCATTTTCTACACTTTCTGAAATTATGACAACGGATTCCGCCCCATTTCGTCAATAACTGACGCGAGGGGAGTACCCAACACATCAAAATCGGATGCAGAGAGAACCTTTGAAAAGCGTCAATATGTGACGACTTGGGAGTGAGAATGGGTTGCTTCAGCAGCTGTTGTGTGTTATTTTCCCAATCTGGAGTCCAGGTCAGTTTGTAACTTTTTTTTGTTTCATACGTAAATTTTGTAAACTTACGTAAGCTTTGTAAGTTGGGGGTGGTATCATAAAATTTGTTAAAATTACATTATCGATTATCGCGATAATCTCTGAGACAATTTATTGTCTATTAATTTTTTTTTACCATGACAGACTTTATGCTTCATTAATTGTTTATTTAATTTTTACTTTTTAGAGAAAAAGCCCAAGTTCTCTTAAGGTCTCCTACTATTGTATCTGACTCATTCTGATTGTCACACATTAGTGCTTGAGGCTGCAAAACATACCAGACATACAGAGTTMTAAAGTAACTAAGTACAAAAACTTTCTTACTGTACTTAAGTAGAAATTTTGMTTATCTGTACTTTATTGAGTTATTATTTTTATACTTTTTACTTTTAGTCATTACATTTTTACACAACTATCTGTACTTTCTACTCATTACATTTTTTAAAAAGGGAAGAAGTAGAAAGTCATTACTCCTATTTTATTCCGAGTTGTTATTACTTAAAAAAATACTATCCTGATAAGTTGTGTCTCCTGGATAGAGTGAATTTAACTGTAGTTGGATGAGAAGTATAAATATAAACCATTCTGACACCCTATTAGCTTGTACACAACCCATCACAGCTGCATGTCGTTAGAAAAAATGTTTTTTGGAGAAGTCACCTCCCAATAAATGTCATTTTGGAAAATCTAACTGCTCACTTCTACTCAGTACTTTTACTTTTAATACTTAAGTAGATTTTGTGTCAGAAATTTACTTTTGATGCTCAAGTACAAAACATATCAGATACTTTAAGACTTTTACTCAAGTAATATTTTTAGAGAAGACTTCAACTTTTACCAAAGTATTTTTATGAAAAGATACTTGTACTTTCACTCAAGTATCACTTTGAGGTACTTTATACAACACTGCAGACGTATGTGTTTATTGTTTGCAATGTGTGTTTCCAGGTGGCAGCATCCTTAGCACCCGCTGCTCTGAAACATACGAGACAAAGACAGCCCTCATGAGTCTGTTCGGTCTGCCTCTCTGGTACTTCTCCCAGTCTCCACGAGTCGTCATCCAGGTGAGCCTCGCCGTCACGTGACCAGCTGTGCGCATTAATTACTCACTCTTTCAGTGAACACAGATACGATCAGTGTTGAAGTCTTGACCTCTCCTCCACTTCCCCTCCATCAGCCCGATGTGTATCCTGGTAACTGCTGGGCGTTTAAAGGCTCCCAAGGTTATCTGGTAATCAGGCTGTCCTTGAGAATCCTACCCACGTCCTTCTGTCTGGAGCACATCCCCAAGGCTCTTTCTCCAACTGGAAACATCACCAGTGCTCCACGCAACTTCACTGTCTTTGTAAGAAATACTGACACTAAGCTATTAAAGCTACTTTTTAACCAAATCTTAGCATGATATCTACTGATTTTTTTTTTGGTCAGGGTCTCGATGATGAGTACCAAGAAGAAGGAAAGCTGCTAGGGCACTACATATATGAAGAGGATGGTGACGCACTACAAATTTTCCCAGTTAAGGTAACTTCAGAGAAACCTTCTTACCCATTACAGAAGCAAAAAATCAATGTCGGTAAGCATTTGGTCAATATTTCTGATCTTATCTGTCAGGAGAAGAACGACAAGGCCTTCCAGATCATCGAGGTTCGGGTCCTGTCTAACTGGGGTCATCCAGAATACACCTGCCTATACCGCTTCAGAGTCCACGGAGAGCCGCGTCCTGAATGAACCACTTCTAATAAAGAGCATTACACACCCTCTGTACATAGTTCTCACCAGCTTCTTTAAAACTGAGGGGACGTGGCAGTGTGGACGTTTGCCAATGAAAGCCGTTAAGACAGAAGTCGTGGATGGTTAAAGCAAAGTGCCYAGATGGAATCGTGAAGATGTTTTTTTATTTTTATTTTTTGTAATAGTGAAAGAATTTGGAAAGTTTGTTTCTGGACTGATGAGGAAGAAGAATGGAAACCACAGAAAAAGCTAAATGTCCCCCTTTTCATTGCACTGAGTCGACTCTAAGGACACCCTGCTCCCACCAAGCAGATAAATCCATCCCCACTTCTTTAGGAACGTGAACACTTGAAATGGAGACTCATCTCAACTATCTTTTCACACACACACACTGTTATGATTTGTGTTTAAAACTTGTTTTGTTTTTGTTTTTTAAGGCTCTGCCATTTTTAGGATCAAGACTACTTCATCTTTGCCTGAGATACTATCCAGGCAGATCACTGTTTTTGTTGTTATCAAATCTTTTCAAAGCCATGYACATGTTGATGTTTACTAGCCTAATGCTTTTCTATAATCATATGTAAGATGTTTGTTCTACAGCCTGAACATGCTGCTTAAGGACAAACTCTGAATGTTTGATCAAACAAAAAGCAAGTTTCCTTTAATCGCACAGCAACATTATTAAACCACTGACCAGAACTCGTATGTGATGCAAGCATTAGGAGGCTCTTCACTCTTCACGTGTCTGATTATGGACAGACACAAGGAATGACGTTAGAGCGTGGGGACTCCTGAAAAATAAACTTTCACATGCATCTTGGATGTAGAAAAGCGATTCCTCCCTGACTGTTGGAGTCCCGTGCCAGGATCTCAGATCACAACTTATAATAGAAGCTAAAAGATTTTACATCTCRTGTAAATAAGTGTTTTTATTTTTAGCTGTTCTTTTTCTTTTAGTTTACCAAAAACGTCCTCACACAGGCTTTCAACTCTGAAACCCCGAAGGAATGTAATTTGTATATTTCATTGTTAATAGTTGGTCCTTTATTATTATACTTTTATCAGTGTTGTTTTATAAAAAAAATTATCATTAATATGGTTATATTACTATTATTTTTACCATTGCTCATTATGTTTGCTTCCTTTTTGTTTTTTGGGGGGATTGATATCAAAAGATGCACTGCAACAACTTGTGAGACAAAAATGTTGTAGCACGTTCTTTTAATATTTTGATTTAAAACAAAAAGTTGGACAGTTGTGTTTGCAACTATGGGTGAGTCTAAAATGTTATTTGTGTAAATTAAATGTTTTGTTGACAGTTTTATTTATTTACAAGATAATCAGTGGCTGCAAATTCTGAGTTACTGCAGTGTATATTTTGTTGAAAGCTGTTCAGTGCATTTTTGGAATATTCTTGGGATTTTTTTAAGATAAATGGCTATTTTTGTTCAGTCATGAGATGACTTAACTGCTTTGGAATATATTCCAATAAAGACTTTAATTTTGATCTCCTATGCCACTTATTTTGACCTCAAATAAACTACTGTGTCTTAGCTTAATTTAATTCCAATTCTAGTTGGCACATGCAATTAAGAAAACTAATTTCAGTACTAATACTAATAATTCCTACTTATTTAAGTCTTTTACACTTTACTTATTCTAGGTTAGATTTTGTTCACAGTCAAGTATCCCTAATAAGTTAATAATTTACACAAAGTATAAAATTGGCATTCTCCTAATGTATTGCAATAATTCAAAAAAGTTAATACACATCACAGCACAACTTTTCCAGCTGTCCTATCTTAAACACATGCAATGATTTTATGTAAATGTTAAATAGAACATAAGCAGTAAAATAAGTCGAACATGTTATAATAAGCAAAAATGTTTCAAACAAATACAAATAAATGTTACATTATTTTAAAATAATTACTTGTTATGAGTCGTGAGACAAAATAAGGCTTTTTTTCTAAAAAAAAAAAAAAAAATTCGCTAATACTGTTGGTTTAGAAATACCAAAGAATTATAAAGTAAACATCAACAGACACCATGAATGTCAGGCTATCTGCTGCCCTCTAGTGGTAACACCGGCGTCACAGGGAAAAAAAAGCGACAGAAACGTTCGGATTGAGTATTGAGTACATAAAATAAAATGTATATATATAAATATACAACATACTGTTTCACAAACTCAGTTTATAGCAATGCTGCTTTCAAGCTGCATATTAGTCACAAAAGGTGCTCATATTTGGAAACAACCAGTACAACTCCAACTGCTGGTAAATTATTCAAATTTGTCTTTATGTAGGCTCCTACGTCGTGGTTTGTGATATTTGGGGTTGAATATGTATTTGCTAGCGCCATTAAAAGGCGACTCGTGCCTTTTTTTTTTTTTTACACCGGAAATTAGTGGTACGTACTTCCTTGGCAACGACGGTCCCTGACAACGAGTAAGCCGAACAATGGCAGAAATTGTCGGTGCTCGACAAAAAACACTTTGGGAACAACTTTGTGAAGGTAAAGATAGGGACGTAAACATGGGCCCGGGCTTGAATACGTAAAATGAATGAAATTATGTTTTTTTATTTATTTTTTTTTTATTTTTTTTTTATTTTTTTTTTTTTTTTGTAGAATTTGAAGCTGAACAACCAAGGCCTCCCTGTGAAAAGTGGACAAATATTAGCTCAGTCAAACAGCCTGCAGCAGGTGAAGCTATAATCTACACAGATTTATGAACATAAAACTAATAAATTGCATAAAAACACTGCTGTTATTATGAACTGCATATTATGTATGTACACAGTTGTGTTTATGTGTTTGTGTTAGGTCCTGCCACATATTACTTGCAGACAGTGTTTCCAGTGTTGTTGCCTGGCCTGGAAGCTTTGCTGACAGAAGCCAGGAAACACGGCTGTTTTGAGGTTTACCTTTTTTTATTTTTAACAGAGAAACATCTTTTTTAAAAGCATGAACTGCAGGCCCACAAATGCTAAAATGACGACTCAGATTGCATTCGTTACATAAACTACCACCTGTATTTAACTCATCAGGTTGTGCATTTGCTTATTTTATATTTCAAGCAGTAACTGCCGAGTACCATTAATTGCAAAAGGGTCACGATGGCAGTACATTATACAGTAATATTTTCTTGAGTATCTTCATTTGTGTACTTTGCTGATAAATCTGCACCTCTTTTACACACAGAAATATTTTTAAATATTATCTCCTTATTGTTTCAGAGAAAAATAACAGCATTTGTCCCCTGTGACTTCCTAACTGAGTGGCTCTACAAGTAAGTGTCCTCCCACACATACACACACATTTCTTTCATACTCACTACATCAAGTCGTTTTGTTCAAATGTCATCCAGTTAGTTTGTGAAAAACAATGATTTTTTTCTCTCTCTCTCTACAGTCATAACCCCCTCAGGCAGGAACAAGATCCAGTGAACTTTAATGAGATTCCCTTTGTCAAGGACTGGCTGAGCATCCAGTGAGTCTCTCACACAAACACATCAACACTCACTTTTATGCAGAAAACACTTACGTCTTTGGACACTGACCTAATTTTTTTTGTTTTATTTAGTAAGACACTTTATAATTGCAGTCATATAATTATTATCCTGACAGAGAAGGTAAAACATTCATTTTTTTGCATTTTGATTATGTTGAAATCTACCTTTAATTTGTGTTTAAAAATAATCCGTATTTCATGTTTTGGTAATAAAACAAGTATTTTGTTAGAAAATGCAAACATTTCATGATTTCACTATGTAGTTACACATCATCTAATTTTTTCTGTGCAGTGCTTTGTCAAGAATATATATG